TTTTTATAAGCTTTTTAGGCATTAGGGATATTAACCTCTTCCTGCAATGCAAGTTGCAAGTGTATATTTTTTCATTTATCTTTTGCTTTGCTTATGGTGTTTTTTGACTTAAAATATAGTTAAAACTTAGTATTCTTCTATTGTTTCTGAGTTTTGAATCATAAGAAAGATTTCTTTCTGATCAGTTTACAGGGGATTTTTTCCCTGATATTTGTATTGTTCAGTTTTTTTATATGTAAGTTTTTGATCCATTTTAGTTTTTTTTCCTTTGTTTGGAAGTTGGAATGCATCAATTTACCTTTTAATATTTGGCTACCCAGTATGAAGAAGTCCACTTTTTCCCTGCTGATTTGAGATGTTGCTTTTGTCATACTCACTTTTCTCATGCGATTGGCCTAGTTTTGGATTTTCTATTTCATTTCATTAGACTGTTTGTCCTTATGGCTGTACAGTGCTGCTTCAATTATAGAGGCTTTACAAAATGTTTTAATATTGGCAAGTTCCTTTCTATTGCTCTTGCTGTTTCACAGCTTTCAAAGGCATGCAACTTTGTAATCAACTTGTCTACCTTCAGAAAAACTTGAAGGTCCTTTTACTGTATGTAAATTTTTTTTATTAGTTAAGGAGAATTTAATGCTTAACTTACTAAAGTATATATTTTCTATGCTCTTTACAGTCCTCCTAATGCTGAAACTTATCCTTCTTAACTTAAATGCTATTGATGTTATATATTATTGCTGTATTTTTTGAAACCCAGATGGGATTATTATTGTTGATTCACACTGTCAAATTTTATAGCCTGTATATTTACTGATGTGCGATTCTTGTTAATTTAATTTACCATTTCTTTGTAAACAGTCTATACTCTGGCATTTATACATTGCTCTTCATATTTTATATTTTATGGTTTACTATGATTAGCTAGGTATGAATTTAGTTTTATTAATCCTTACAGGGATGTCCTGGGCTTTTTAGACCTGAAGATTGGTATCTTTTCATCAGTTATGAAAAATTCTTAAGCCAGTTTTTGTGTTTGCCTCATTCTCTCTCTTTTTTTTTTGTGAAAGTATGATAAAACATGTTAGACATGTACACCACATTCCCCTTGTCTCTTGCTCTTGCTTGTATTTTTCCATTTCTTTGTATCTCTATACTGCACTCTATATTAATAAGTAGGTTTCCTATATTTGGGTAAAAACCATAATTTGAAATTTCCTATGGCAGAAAAATGCACAAATCCACATTCTTGTATTTTAGTGAAAATTACTTATATGCTACAGAGACCCGAAAAAGGATTGTAATTCTGGTTATAACTACCAAACAACCTACATATGTGTATCTGTGTGTATTTTAAGGAAGACTGCTACCTTATTACCATTTATAATATATGGGGAAATATGGTCTGACTTCCAAATAGCCCAGTGACAGTATAGTTTGCTTCATATATAGATTGTAGCGGTACTCTAGTTAAGCTTGTGAGGCTAACAGGAGTGAATATACTGATAGATGAATGTCAAATAAATAAGATTATATATGGTAAAATTTTTTGAATTCAAAAGACATCATCTATAATGTACTTGTCCCACTACAAATAATTTATATATTTGTATAAATAACTTGGTTTAGGTAATTCTATTTTTTTAAATTTTTCATTAAGGTATTGTTGATATACACTCTTACGAATGTTTCACATGAAAAAACAATGTGGTTATTACATTTACCCATATTATCCAGTCCCCACGCATACCCCAATGCAGTCACTGTCCATCAGTGTAATAAGATGCCACAGATTCACTATTTGCCTTCTCTGTGCTACACTGTTTTCCTTGTTATCTCCCACACCATGTGTACTAAACATAATACCCCTCAATCCCCTTCTCCCTCCCTCCTCACCCACCTCCCCTTTGGTAACCACTAGTCCCTTCTTGGAGTCTCTGAGTCTGTTGCTATTTTGTTCCTTCAGTTTTGCTTCGTTTTTATACTCCACAAATGAGGGAAATTATTTGGCACTTGTCTTTCTATGCCTGGCTTATTTCACTGAGCATAATATCCTCCAGCTCCATCCATGTTGCTGCAAATGGTAGGATTTGTTTCTTTCTTATGGCTGAATAGTATTCCATTGTGTGTATGTAGGTAATTCTATTTTGAATAATTACTATTTAATAAACTAATTTAGTCAGGTATCTTAGAAATCTTCATAGTTTGAAATAAAATTTATGTTTTATAGTTCAACAAAATTGACACATTACACAGCTGAGAACAAATTTGTGAATATCTCATGTGTCCTCTTAGATTATTAAAGGTGACAATGTTTATAAGAATAGTAATACTATATATGTATTAGCAAACACCTATAGCACTACGGGGATTGTTCTAAGTGCTTAATAAGAGGTAGCTGCTATTACTGTTTCTTCTTAAAAATAAAGGATTTTAGGCATAGAGATATTAAGTGATTTGCCTAGAGTTGGTATCAAGTGGTAAAGCTGATTCAAACCCATTGTGCCTTAGACAATGGATGAGTAAAGGGCCTGAGAGTAGGTATTCTAGGCCTAGGCTGTAAGGTCTCTGTTGCCAATTCTCAGTTCTGTCATTGTAGCATGCAAGCAGCTGTAGTTAATATGTAAGTATGTGTGGTTGTTTTCCAATAATACCTTATTTATTGAGAGATATTTCAGTTTCATTTAATTTTTGTCAGAAAATATTATTCTCTTTTTAATAATTTAAATATGGCTAACTAGTCTTATCTAGTGCATTATACAAAAAAAGGCCATCCTTGGGCCAGATTTGGCTCATGGGCAGTAGTTTGCTAGCCCTGTTTTAGACTGCTGTGTATATTTTGGGGCCATATTGTGTTCTATTTTGGACTTACTTACCTTGCATCTTGTAGTTTTCTTCCATGAGAGCTAGACAACTTGATCTCTAAATATTTAATTAATCCTTTACTAGTCAATAGGAAATACAGCCAGCTTGAAACATGGAATTCCTACTTCTACATATAATCTAGGTTTTTCCCCCTAGTCATTTCACTACTACATAAATAATTTGTTGACTCCTCTGAATCTTACACTAAGGCAGAGCTAACTAGACTGTGTTTTTTTGTCTTTATTACTTCTTATTTTGCATATTTTTTCCCTCATTTTAATATCATTATCATAGAGTTGGACCTTGCTGAGTTAGTTAGTTAAATCATGGAGCATGCACAGATCTTTCTTTCATAATGTTGGCTCCCCTTCATGTTCACATAATGCAGACATTATGTAATTCTGCATACTTTGTTGGATTTTATACAAGGTCATGTTGCTCTGCATACTCATCTCTAAATTTACTACCATAACACATTTATTTCAATTTATGACCTTTGTTACCTCTCCCTCCTTCAGTACAGCTAATTGCCCTACCAATCAATATTATTTACTCAATGTAAGGATGCAATCTCACTCCATTCTGACTAGTACAAATGTAATACCTCCATGTTTCAGTATGTTATAATAGAGATAGATGCAAGTATAGTACTATAATAGTCCAGAAGAATCAGCTATAGATTTGGAGATAAAGAAGGGAGAATTAAACCAAGTTTCTAGGTGAAATTGTGAAAATAGGGTTTAAGGAAGCAACAGGTCCAAAGACTGTAAGCATATAGGAATTTTAGGGAATGGGAAGAAGTTTGCTTTGATTGGAGAATATGTAATTTGTAATAAAAGCTGTGTGTAAGAGTAGTCTTGGATCAGACATAAAGGTTCTTAAGATAAAGAATTTGAATTTACTACTTTAGATCAGTGATCTTAAATACTTAAATAGAATAAAAAGAGAATGTAAGTAATAAATAAATCAAGCAGACAGTATGTCGGAGAAATAAGAGCAGTAGATGGAGAGTGGCAAATTGGAGAGGAGGTTCATGCTCTGGCTAATGGCAGTAGCTGCTCAGCTTATTTTGCCATGGAGAGATGTAAGCCCTGTGTTACAGAGGTTCCTGTTTTTCAAAAGCTCAGAGAAACTTAGATTTAATTTGAAATATTACAAGTTTATAAGTATTGACTATTGTAGGAACGAAAATATTTTAAAACTATACTTTGTTGATACACAAGTGTGTTAGCTGAAAGTCTCTGCTTTAGATGGTACAGTCTAAACAGCAGTTTGTAAAATCTGTAAGTAGTCAGATTATTGTGTTTTATGAAGGTAACAGTGGCAGCTGTGTGTTGAACATGGAATTTTGGTAAGTGCAGAATAGGGAGACTAGAGATGGAAGGGTCTCTCAGAAGATAAGTAATGCTTTGTTAATAGAGACAGAGAAGATTCCAGAGGTATACTGATGGGACTATTTTCATACTTAACTGATAATAAAATAATTGCAAAAGGGTTAATCCTCTTTTTCATCCTTGACCCCTAGTTTGTGTTTCCCCTGTGTATTAAAGCCAACTGCTTTTAACAATTTGTTATATATCGCTGACAATATGCATTGGTGTTTATGTGTGCACAAATAATGTAATGAATGTATTTCTACATCTTGGCTTAACAATAGATCTTGGAATTTTTCCTTATCCATATAGATGTAAATACTCTATCTAATATTCTCATGAATACTTGCATTATATTTTATATGGGTATATTGTAATTAATTCACCCTTTTCTCAGTGGTAAATATTTAGTATGTTTCTATTCTTTTAGATCATCTTGACATATACATAGCCACATTTTTGCCACCTGGCATTCCATTGCATTTTTTTGCACAGTGAACACTGACAGGCATGAGTAATGTAATTGTTCATTGTATGATCCAAGAACTTCAGTGTATTTCTTTGTATTTTCCTTGAAGACATTTCCATTAAAATTTTACTGAAAAAATAACATGAATCCTAAATGATCAGTAAAATTTTTCAAAACCAACTACTTTAAAACTAAATACCTGATACTACATAGCTGTTATCTCTTGAGAATCTTTAAAATTGGGGCAAAAAAAAAGTCGAAAAGCAATGAAAGTCATCGTTCACTTATTCTTCTAGGAGTTTCTTTGAGTTGCTGCTGTTTTTTGGAAGAGATGAGTTTTATGAAGAGCCCTTAAAGGATATTCTTGGATCATTCCAGGTAAAACAGTTTATTATTTCATTTTTTCTACATTTAAAACATGCCTTTATTCTCCCCTAAGAAAAAATATTGGTTATTTATGACTAGTAAGTTTTTGTATTTACTAAGATTGCAATGTTTAGGATCCTGTTACACTGGGAGATAAAGAAAATTCTTAAAATTAACTTTTGGTTGTATTTCTAAACAGTTCATAGATAGAATTCCAATTCCACATTTCCTAGACCAGAACCTGCTGCTACCACCCTTTGTAGATTCTTAAGCACATCCTGGACATAACTAAATAACTTTTTATTGCTAAGGCTTTGGTTTCAAGGCCCCATGTAGAACTCAGCCCTAGGGAAAAGTACTCTTGTTGCCTAGACTAGGTGTCCAATGCCACTTTTTCTCTTGGCTGTACCCTGATTATCTCATCTATTTCAATAGTGACACAAGATCCAAGACCCATCCTATAGGTGCAAGAATATTGACCGTACTGTTTGGGAATCAATACCTAGTACTGTGGCTATTAAGTGTCCTTGTCATTATTTCATAGCAAGGCTCTCGGGTGAAATAAAGGAAGATGTACTTTGAGCTCCCCCTAGGGGTAGAATGTTCTGACCACATAATTTATATTCATTCCTATAGTGTTAACAAATACTGTTAAATGTTAACCAGGAGTACTGCTATCTACCTTAAGGAAGGAGATCAGCAGAAAAACCATGTAGTGCTCTCTCTCAAAAAATTATTTCATATTTATTGAAAGAGAGCTTTTAGACTGAATTAAAATAGATTTTTATAAAATCTTTTTATGGACTACATAACTAGGAAAATTATAAGCAAACTAGGAAGATTATAAGCAAACTTAATTGGCTGAGGTATATCTAAAACTTCTCCACATTCACAGTCTGACTCTAGATTTGCTTTTCCACTGAGTCATCAGTGTCAGTATCAGTTTTCCTACACCATTTTGTCTTCAGTGGTATATCAAAAGTGTTGGTGATGTAGTATTTCCTAAAATAATTAATGAAAGAAAAATCCATTGGTATTAAAGCTTAATCTGGCTTTACGGTTCTTTTTAATCAGCCAACTTTGACTCCTGCTTGAGGGGTGTTAGATTAATCACCTTGCACCCTACCCTCACCATTTGGTTCCCAAGATTTAAAAAAGTGTTCTGCTAGTCTCTTGGATTTCATTCTGAACCACCAATACATCCTTTTGCGTGTCTGTGCATGCTGAATGACAACTGTGTCATGACCATTACCAGGCTGACATGGATTCTACAATAGCACTGAATATAAAACATGTAAAAATACGAAAAAAAAGTACATCTTATAATCAGTGAAATTAGGTACACTATATTGAACATTTTACTTTAACCATTCTTACAATCAGCAAAAGAAGTAAAAAAAAAAAATACCTGTTCTCATGGTACTTACATTCTAATTAGTCTATATTCATGTATTTAAAACAATTTTCCAATCCATTTTTCCTTTGGCACATGTATTCTTCTTGGCAATCCATTCTTTAACTTTTACTCAGCAAATATTTATTAAATCCCTGCTATGTGCTAGATACTAAGCTCTGGGAAAAACAGTAGTAAACAAAAACAGTAAAAACCCTGCTATTGTGGAGTTTCATTCTAGTGTAGAGAAAAAGACAATCATTAAGTCTTTGTAAATTAAGAGTATTTTAGAGAGCAACAAATGACTTAGAGAAAAATGAAGCAGGTGAGGGAGCTACTGAATGCTGGCATGGTGGTATTAGGGAAGGAAATTTCAGTTTTAAATGGGATGGGTCCGAAAATGCCTCATGGAGATGTCAGCTGAACATTGACAATTGGAGCCACTGATATATTTAAAGAGTAGATGAGAGACATTGTCTCTCATTTGTTTTAAATGTGTGACATCACATTTCTGAAGGGATATATCCTTTATTTACCTTTTATTATGAGCAGGGTTTCTGTTCCATTATCAAAACAACCAATTTCACAAGAAAGAATTCATGGTTTTATGCCCTTTTCTTTCTCCTGCTCAAATTCTAAAGCCCACCCCTTCTCCTTTGGCTTTGTTTTGAAATCTTTCTGCCATTTTTATGCTGTGGCTTTTTTTTTTTTTTTAACTTTGAATTTTTGAGCCTCTAACTCCTGCCACCTAGGAGAGATTTCACCTTTTGCTCCTAGTTTAGCTTTTCCTGGAGAATCATCCTTTGTTGCCTGAACCGAGCTGCTGTTCTTGGTTCTAAGCAGGCCTGTGTCCTCAGGGACCCAGGAAAGGCCAGTATGTAGTCCATCCTATACACTCCCCTAAGCCTTGCATTGCTAAGTTTTGTGAATTCTCCAGGTTTTTGACTGACCTTTGATAATCTAATGACAATCTTAGTGTCACCCATTTTCTACTAGTATAAACCTCTGTTTTCCCAAGTGGTTCAGTTTGATCCATCTTTCATACAGATTCCTATCAGCTTAAGATCATGCTCTTTCTCCACCATAAGTAGGACAAACAGTACTGCTCATACTTTAATGTACCTGGGGATCTTACTAAAATGCAGATTATGATTCAGTAGTTCTGGGGTAGGGCCTGATAGTCTGCATTTCTAACTGCTCTGAGGTGATGTCTATGGTGCTGGTCCCTGGACCACACTTTCTTTGCTGGATTTGAGTTAATTATTCCTTCTGTGTTCCACGTATCCCCCACCCCTCCATCTCCAGTTTTCCAAGTGTGAGTATCCCAGCTATGCCACTCACTCTCTGTCACTTTGGACAAGTCACATAATTTCTGCATAAGCTTCCTCATCTATTAGACAGGGGCAGGTATTGTACTGTTGCATAGGGGCATCAGCTTGGCATTATTCTTGGCACAATGATCTGGCTTAAGGTAAGCCTTATAGTCTATGTATAAAGGGTTGTGGGCTCTTAATCATACTACCTGGATTTCTGTTTTCACAATAAGACCAAGATCTAGCCCTTACGTTTATTCTATTCTTCCATGAATTTTTTATTTCCTAAAACCTGAGCTGTTCAAATTTTTAAGTCTTCTTATCCATTGAAAGCAGAATAAGAGGAAACTTCATTTCTAGAACTAGATGTTCCATTTACTGGTTTCTATAAACTTGCTTTCTTAGCCCTTGGCTTCCAATAATGTTCTTTACCTCAACACAAAAAGATGACACATTTCTTATATGATGTACCTATTTGATGATTATTTTTTATCTGTTCATTGTTGAGCTTTCCATAGGCTTGTGATTGAATTCATGCACTGGGTCTCTAAAACCCATTAATTTAATCTTCTAAATTCCCAATAAAATGACAAAAGTAATATAAAATGAGAAAGAAATTCTAAATGAATGCTGGAACTTGGATTAAGACCAAGTACTCAGGGATGGGGCCAGATGAGGGATGGGCCCAACAATACTTGATTAAGTGAAGGTAATTAAATAGAGAAGTGCAAGATAAGGGCATGGAGAGAAAGAAGAGAGACCTTCCAGTGCTATCCAATAATGACTCCTCCCTTCCCTCTAGCTTATAACAACAGGATTTAGGGAACTAGCAGACAGTGGGGCATTAGGTATTTGGCCAATCTCATTCTTCCTGGGGCTTCTTGAAAGTGCACCGGGTGTGCAGCAGAGACTATAGAACAGGAATCCTGATGTGACTTTTACCTACATTAAAAATGGGATGTATGCTTCTGTATATGAATGCTCCTTCTATTAAGAGAATGAGAGTATGACCTGAACTAAAGCAGCCTACCCCAATACCTAGAAGTAAGAAAGTTTTGTAAAGAGGTGTGGTTGTCACTTTATTGCTTCATGGGTCATTGATCTAACATATTAAACTTATAAATTCTCCCTTCTCTCTTGGTCTGGGGTTGAAGGATTTGGCAGAGACCTACTTACCCATTAGTAAACAGCTCACTGTTCTAGATATCCTAGGTAAAGATGAATATAGTAACACCAATTACCATCAATTATATGGTCAGGTCAAGTTAAAAAAAAACAGTTAATGTTCTTGCTGTGGTTGACATCAGGGTATCTTCCATGAAACTGGAAGTGAAATTGTAAAGAAGGAATAACCCCAAAGAATATATGTAGGTAAAATATTATATGGCGATGAAGCTACTAAATTAAAAGTATAGTGAAGGTAGTCAGCAGAAGATTAGCTCCAGGAAAAAACCAAATCAGGGAAGGAAATGTCTAAAAGTTAATTTTTAATTCATAGTTACCTGTAGCCATATCCCACTATAGTCTTCAATTTTCAGGATAAAGAGAAGTTCCTGCAAATTCAGGACTCATGTAGAACAGGATTCCCACAAAGGAAAAAATAAAATCAGGCTGGCAATGATATTCTCCATTATAACAAATGTCAGAATAAATGTCTACGGAGTTTTTCAAGGGGAAAAAACTTAATATTTTTATTATTAATAAAATATATTAATTTATAATAAAAATATAAATTAATAAATTAAAATAGATGCCACGCCCTATAGTTTCTGAGACAAAGCAACAGAAATAAACAGTTCAAATACTTGGAAAACAATCCAATTACATGTCTTTGATCAGGAAAGTAAGTGAAGAAATATGCCAGCTGATTTAGAAATGGTTAAAACAAAGAATTTACAAATGCAGTGTTACAGAAAAACAGGACTGACCTGAGGAAACAAGTTAGTAGGCTATTGTTAATTTGGCTATTATGGAAATTCTATTAATGTCAAAAGTGATTCCAGAAAAAGAAAATATGAGTTGTAAATAAAAGCACACATACTAATCTGGAGCTAAAAATCTCAGATTTATGGTACTAATTAGGTGGAAGTGAGGAAAACGGAAGAATCAAGTACACTCTTGGGCATCTAAGCTGAAGTAACCACATAGAATAGTGCCATTCACTAAGTGGGTGGTGATTATGGAGGGAAAAGCAGTATATAGAAAGAAGGTAAGTTCCATTCTAGATGATAGTTTTAAATATCTTTGGAAGATTCAAGTACTAAAGACCAATGATGGTTGGATTCATGAGTCTATATTTGTATCTC